GGTCCCCTTGAGGGGGCCGGGCTCTGCCTGTGCCGGCCGGCCTTACTGCAGAGCCCGAGGTGGGCTACTCCACCGGGAGACCCGGGGGCGGCTGTGGTGTATACTGGTCGTTGCTCGCATACAAAAGAGGAAAGCGTGGTTTTAATTTAAAATTCTGCTTTGTCTGTGGAATGAATCTAAAGCCCTTCCTGCAGCACAGGGCCATGGAGTGAAGGTTCCCATTCTTCACAGTCTGTAAAAGAACCCTGAGCCTGGCAGCAGGCCCCAGTTGGGGGGGGAGGCGGGGGCGTGCCTTTGTTCCTCTCTTTGGACGCAGTTCCTACTGGTTTCCCCGTAGCTGCCGGTGGGAGCTCATTCTTAGTAGAGTTGCTGGTTAAAACAGGTGAAGCTGAAAGGATTTGTAGTGTCCTGCTGGCCAGTGTGCTGTGTCAGATATTGCAAAGGCCAGTGGTGGATCCAGCTGCCAGCACTGTGGTGTGTGCTGGGGTTGCGCTGGATGGATTTGTGCTCCTAAGCAAGATGAGTTTTCTTCAGAGAAACTGTTAATGCAGATGTACAAGGTAACTATTCAGAGGAGATCACTGGGCTGCACATGGGTGGACTGTTTATAACGAAGCCATTTTATGTGCTGTTAGCAGAGACCTCCTCAACTCCACATAGTGCCTAAGAGGTGCTATGAATAAATGAGGACCACAACTGGGACAACTATGGAAAATGATAGGACTATGTATGTAAAAGCTGGTCTGATAATACAGGAATAGAAGCTCCATATTTGTGCGTCTAGTGCACTAATTCACAAAAGTCAAGCTAATTCAATAGTAATACAGTCAGAGGTAGCATTTTCTGCTTTTATTTTTGGCCTGCTTCTTTACATACACCACTTTACCTGGTTATAAGTTAACGATGTTAAAGATTGAAGTAGTGATTTCAGTAAAATAAAATTGTGTTTAAAAATTGACTTAGTCATCTTAGTAATAGGCAATTCTCGATAGATATTTAAAAAAAACCCATTATTTTTTTTATGAAGTGGATGTTTTGTATCTGGGTCGTTTTGTTTGCGATGATTAAGCAGCACCAGTGTCTGGTAACATAAATGTCTGTTAGTTTTAGCTGGTTCTAGCAGCTCAGCAGCCATGAAGGATCCCTGTGTAGACATAGAATGGCTAGCCCTGCTGTGGCCACTGAGCATCTGGGGACCTCCAGTACTTATGGGATAGTATCATACCCCTTTCTAAATGGATGTTAGAGGTATATGATGCTTGCGGTTAACAGTCATCAAAATGTAGTTTGCATATGCTTGTGAGTTGGATGTGAGTCTGAATTGAGTCCACTTGTAACATGGGAGGAGGGGGGAGAAGAAAAGGGTTTGTTTTCTTGGACAAAAGTGTACTATTGTAGTCTATTACATGTTTGCTTAGTGAATTTCATTTTGGAAAAAGACAAATGCTACAAAAGAGTGCTATAGTGGCTCAATCTGAAGATGGAGTTGCATATGAGAGGGTTACTTTTCCTCTTGGTCATAGTTGTTCAGAGCTTCTTTTTTCTTTTTAGTTTAAGCTCATATCCCAGGCATATGAAGTTCTGTCGGACCCAAAGAAAAGGGACCTCTATGACCAGGGTGGGGAGCAGGCTATTAAAGAAGGAGGCCTGAGTGGCGGCAGCTTCTCTTCACCCATGGACATCTTTGACATGTTCTTTGGTGGTGGAGGCCGAATGAATAGAGAGAGAAGAGGTACACAGTTCTAAACAAGTTCTAGAAACAATAACCATGCACTTCAGCATAAAACACCTGTGCTATGTACTGCTGTTCTGCTAAGTGCACACAGTGTGGGGATTACCCATTGCAACAATAGATTAAGTAAACTGAATTTTTTAGTTACTGTAGCATTAAGTTTCTAATAACATAGATAACATAGTGTAGCCATAGCAGTCTTTCTTATGAGTTTCATTTATTCTTTGTTCAAGTGGGTGTGGGTAACCTGTAGGGGAGGGGGAAACATTGGGGAGGTTAGAGCAGTTGAATTAAGAACTTTGGTTTTTTTAAGTTACCTTTTTTCCGGATCTGTGCCTCACTTATATTTGGGCAACTTGCTTCAGAGGACACCATCAACTTTAAATTTCAGTTAAATCTCCTGAAAATATTTGGGAAAAATTATGTGTAACTGAGTGCTGCCAAAAGCACAGTATGTTTTGTTTTCCATGCCCTATGTCAGTTGAAGGAGCAAGTAGTAACTTGCTGTCAAATCTTCAAAATTATGCTATGAAGTGGCATGGAAATATATAGGTAGGCATAATAGCAACTTTTAAATTGACTAGATCTGAAGCTGGTAGTGTCCTTGCATCTTGACATTTCAGTTAAGCTTAAAAAATTAGGGGTAAGAGGAGGGATGGGGTGGCTTTAGTGATGCTTTGTTTAATTATAGCTAAACTTCATTTTCTGGTGTAAGTGGGTGCAGCTCAGTGGAAGCTGATGGAACTGCACATACTTTTAAGGGGGCTGAGCTGTGTTCAAAGTTTGGAGTTAACTGTACATTTTTTCAGTGAGACTGCATGTATGAACTAGTGTAGAAGTCTTATAAATAAACGTTTGTCCTTGCAACAGCTGAACTGGAATTAATGTTCCTCTTCTGTTTTTTCTTTAAAGGCAAAAATGTTGTGCACCAGTTAGGTGTATCTCTTGAGGACTTATATAATGGTATCACAAGAAAGCTGGCACTGCAAAAGAATGTTATCTGTGGAAAGTGTGAAGGTAAAAATAACCCCAATTAGTTGTTTCAAACACCTCTTACTCCAAGCTGCATTTTTTTCTTAAGAATATTGGGAGGGGGCTGGGAAAGAAGTGTGGTGTTTTTAGTTCTACCCCTTCACCAAAAAAGTCTGCCAGGGTGTTTTCTTATTTAAGGCAGCTTTCTTAAACATAGTGGTATAAAGTTACTGTTTTAATGGCAAACTTAAACTTGCTGTGAATTATAGTTAAGGGCACCTAAATTAAAAGTGTCTTTATCTGGAACTTTTATAAATAGTGGTTTTGTTAAGCTTCATTTTTTTAATTACTGTCAGTGGAATCTTCCTTTTATTATGTACCTCATTTCACAGCTGTTAAGTATCCATAATGACTGGCATTGAGGTAAATCTTTGAGGTCTTATATCTTTGTACTCTATTAAATATTTAGCAAGCAGATTCTTTCCAAAGTATTAGTGGAATGTCTAGGGCTTGAAGTCAGTATGCTGTTAGTTCCTTGAAAACAAAGATGTATTTGGAGGGGGGCAGGGCTGAAGAAGCTGTGCATAGAAAACTTGGCTTTCTTTTGCTTGTAGAAAGTTTTAACTTGGGCATTTTTTTTATGGAAACCAAATTCCAGTTACTTGTAAGCTGTCCTACAGGTGCTCTTGAAGGCAATGAGTTTTAACCTGACTACTGTAGAGTAACTTTTTTTTGTGACTGAGATCAGATTTATTTTTTTGTCAAAGGTTATGGTGGAAAGAGAGGGGCAGTAGAAAAGTGCCCAGTGTGTAAAGGAAGAGGAATGCAAGTTCTAGTTCAGCAGATTGGACCTGGCATGGTACAGCAAATTCAAACCGTGTGTCCTGAATGCAAAGGCCAAGGTGAAAGAATAAATCCGAAGGACAGGTGTGACAACTGTAATGGCTGTAAGGTTGTGAGAGAGAAAAAGATCATAGAAGTTCATGTTGATAAAGGTAAGAATTGTGTATTTGTTCTGTCCCTAGTGGTAGTCTTCAGTTCTGCAAGGAATTAATGGATTTCTTTTTTCCAGGTATGAAAGATGGTCAGAAGATAGTATTTCATGGAGAAGGTGACCAGGAGCCTGATCTGGAGCCTGGTGATGTTATAATTGTGCTTGATCAAAAGGATCACAGCGTTTTTCAGAGGCGAGGGCATGACTTAATCACCAAAATGAGAATCCAACTCTCAGAGGCTTTATGTGGCTTCAGAAAGACCATTGAAACTCTGGATAACAGAGTTCTAGTCATATCATCTAGGCCAGGTAGGTCTGAAGTGTTCAGATGCCATACAGACTCCTTGCCTGTTTAATTGTGCCTGGACTGGATGTTTGTGAGGGATTGTTCAGGAGGTTTTTTTAACCAGTTGATGCAACAGATATAAACTGTGCTTGCAGTCATTTAACCTAGTCACTCTTCCTAAAACATTACATGCAGAATTATAGCTGCAGCTGTTGAATGCTTCTTAATAAATTTCAGCCTCAGTTGGTGGATAGCCAGGAAAATTAGGCCAGAAATTTTAACTCTACTAGATTATCTGTTAATTCATCTTGAAGGTTATGCTAAGAGATGCTGATTTTCTTAAGAGTGGCAGAAGTAGCCTAAATGGCCTTACTTCTGTATAGCTTGGGTTTAGTCCTTTTCAGTCTGCAGCCTTTTCCAAGTTGCTTGGTAGTATCCCTCAGATGCTGTGACAACAGGGAACACTGCTTGTGTTGAAACTCTGCTGTTCATGGTTGTGAAATGTCTGTCATGCAGGCTTACTGACAGCTCTTGCCTCTGTGTAGGTGAAGTGATAAAACATGGTGACCTAAAGTGTATCTGCAATGAAGGGATGCCCATCTACAAATCTCCAATGGACAAAGGCAACTTAATTATACAATTTTTGGTAAGTTGACTGCTTGCTTTTCTGTAGCAAAGGTACCTGTGTTGGCATCAGGAGTAACTTCATTAAAAATCAAATTGTAGGTCCAGTTCCCAGAGCACTACTGGCTCCCAAGGGAGAAACTGTGTCTGCTGGAGGCGCTGCTACCTCCACGAGAAGATGTTATGATTACAGATGAGATGGATCAGGTAGACCTAGAAGATTTTGATCCAAGTGAGCAAACCTACCGTAACAGTGGGGGAGAAGCATATGAAGAAGATGAGGAGGGTCCAAGAACAGGAGTACAGTGTCAGACATCTTAAAGCAAGGTGGAATGGATGTCATCTAAAATGTAAATTTTCACAATGAAAACTGCATGGCTGTAATAGCCACTGCTTGTGTTTTTTGTGTTCAGCAAATTGAGTTGCTGCGCTGTCAGTATCACCTTTTTGTAACTAATTTATATTGTGTTCTTGTAGTCTTTATATATAAAGCAAATGTCACACAGCTGAGAACCAACTGACTGGGTATACATTTTCCTTTGCTATTAAGGTTCTCAATTTATTTCACCTATGCTATTTATATAAGACTTTGGCAATATTGATAGAGGCTAAGTGGAGTGTCTTATGTAAATACTTTCATACTGGAAAATTAATTTCATAGAATAAAACATAGCAGAAATAACTTCTAATAAATAGAATTCTTCACATTTTATCATGCTTCTCCTGTACTTTCTAAGCCACCTTAAACCCTCTTTCTTTAAATATAACAGTTTATCTAAGCTCTGACTTCCATCATGTAGTCTAGATTGCTGTCTATGTTCATCTCTTTTAGCTGCAACACTAGCAGCTGTCTTACTTTGTATTTCAGCAGCATTTTGTGCATGCCCTGTTCCTTGCACAATAACTCTCATCCTTGTGTTCTTTTGATGCGGTAGAGTAGCTTAATTCTACCCAAGTGTAATGTATGATTAAATGGTATCTTCTTGTATAGTGTACCCCATGTACTTATAGTTTACAGGCAAATACTTCCAAATATGGCTTTGGTCTTTCAGAAGCTCAACCTCTCTGCTTCAGCATTGCCTAGAAAGAGTTTTCACTTCCTCTTAAGTATTGTGTACTTGAGCCTTAACTAAGACAAACTAAAACCAGCTGCATTGGGTATACTGCTGCTGTTCTATACCATGGCAAGATGACAGAGTAGAATGAGTCTATTAAAGCTTTTTTTTCTTTTCCCTATTTTCTAGCAGTGTTTGTATTAAGTCAGGGTTGGAAACAGCTGGCACCCTTTAGTAAAATTAAGCCATGATGCAAAAGCTGCATGTCACTACAATTGCTGGAGCAGGTGTTCCACTTAAATGACCTTACTGCTCTCACTGGGACAACATCAAGATGAGCACAGGCTATCATTTCCCATGCCTCACATAGAGCCTCAGTTACTCTTCCTTTTCTTAAAATAAGCTGCTGTTAGACTTGGTCAACACTTTTAAGCTCCAGTCTATTTATGTATAAAGGCAGGGGAGATTAACTGAACAGTTATTTCACCCATGACTACATGTATCCCAAAATACTTTATTCCAAAGTTGAGACAAGTTACTTGTATCTGTAGCTTTTATTTTTAAAAAATTAAAGCTTTTTCTCATGCTAAATCAAAATTGGATAAAAACATCTCATTTTGCAAATCATTACTAAATGCTTTTATCATAGTAAAAAAAAGTACATGGCAGGAGAGCAGTATTCCTAAGAACTGCCACAAGAGTTCACCAAGGGGTCTGAGTCAAGACATTTAAACTGGACAGTCATAAATATGAATTTCTTGGTCATCTCCAACAGATACAATTTTGGACCCACTTCCATTGTATTTCACTCCCCAGACCTGCAATTAGAACATACACAAGGTTATCAACAAGACACTAAGAAAAAATACCTGCATAGCAGTCACATTTATTGACTACAACAAGCAGAAGAGGCAGGATTAAGATCACCTTATTAGCCAATTATGGCTCCTGCTTTAACAGCAGATAAGGTTGATGAACCAGAGAAAGACACTGCCATCTAGTAGCCTGACAAGGTCTCACATATCACAACAATGGATTACACAATCTAAAGATCCTTGAAAAACACTTAAAAGTACTTGCCCCATTTTTTTGCTTTTACCCACCCTGTCTTCCTCTCTGAAAAAAGTGTTTTACGGTGCTTTCAGGACAGCAAGAGAAGAATGCTCCAGTTTATCCTTGGGCTAATTAAGAGAGCCATTAACTTAGCAGGGCAAAACTTAGAAAATCTTAGGTCAGTCCTCTGATTTAAACTTACACCACCTACACAAGCTCTTAAGTGGCCCCATCTCCACCATCAGGATGACATCAGGAAAAGTGAAGGCAACCCAGGATATTAGTGTGGTGTTGTGAAATGGCTATGTTGACAACAGCACATTTTGGGGAATCTCACACACCCACCATTTTGCATCAATAAAAACCCAGCCTTCCAGAGAACTGACAGATCTCTGCCTTCCACAGACCTACGAGATGGTAAGCTAAAACACTGGAAATCCAGTTTTGCTTGGTACTTCATTCAGTACAAAAGCCCCCACAGCTGTAGATGACTGAAAAGAAGGTTACCAGCAAGAGGAGTATGGAACAGAGCCCAAATAAAATCTGAAATACTTTGTTAGAAAATGAGTAATTTCATAGATGCTTAACTTCCCTCAAGGGTAGCTACCACACAGCAAGAAAAAAACCACCAGGGTTTCAAGGCTGCTTTCAAGCATCTTTTCAGATAATTCCATCCTTTTAAGTAAGCATTTTCTCCACTTACGCAGGTAGGCACTGTGTAAGTGATAGAAATAAACGAGGCCATAGACAAAGATACAAAATACAGCCTGGAAAGAATCCTTTTGGCCACTCAGGATTGCTCTTATTTGGACCTGAAAAAAATTACTTGGAAGAGATGAACCTACAGGCTTGCAAATTAGTTCAATTTTAAGTGCTAAACAATTATGAACAAATGTTAAGATTTCATTACAGCAAGCTGAAGTCGAACCAGTGCTAACTTGAAGTACAGATGGACACAACCACACAACTGAAGTTCTTCAGTGAACACAGTGACCTGGTTAAAGTAGTAACAGACATACCTGGTCGTGGTGGTCGAAGAAAGTGTGAACACAGGTTCTCGTCCCCGCATCCCAAACTTTTACACTTTTATCAGATGAACTGAAAGAAAAATAGTATTGATCAATGTTTAAATTAATAGATAAACTATAGTTCAGTGCAAACTTAAAAGACCCACTTTCATCCATCAAATACAGGGATAAAATAACAAAGAAATGCATCTTCTACCAGGTTCTGGTTACCTTTAAAATACCTTTACTGTTTCAATATCTGCAAGACAAAAATGAGGACTCTTTAAAGTACATACATACTCTGGATAAAGAAACTCCTGTTAGATATACTGGGTCCCAACTGCCTGAGCTGTTGTAGAGTTCAAGAAGTTCAACTAGATCAACCACATGAGGTTGTACTTTTTAATTCAACAGCAATTTTTCAGTGATTTAGAATCCAACCGCCCTCTTGCATTTAGATGTTCACTTGTAGGCAACCACTCTGCAGTGGGATGGCTCACATTATAAAATACTATTTACTGCAACTGGTATCACTGATTGGCTCTTGAGTCTTTAACTGTGATGTACGTTATTCCATTATAGATTCCACTGCAATTTGTACACGTTTTATGACCCATCTCCCTTTATAAATATAAAGTTACATACATTTGTTATTTCGGTAAGCATAAGGAAGTTAAGAATCCTCAATACCTGGAAACAAAATGGGTATCATCAGGACAAAATGCTACATTTAGTACCCAGGATCCATGACCACTTAATGTGCCAGCCAAGTTTGCATGTTGCCTGTGGAAAGAACAAATTTTAGAAAACAGAATTGTAACATTAGGTTTGTGAACTCCAGGGAAAAAGCAGCAGGTATACTCTAGCTAATGCAGTGAGGAATGCAAGGTGACTTCTAGACATTTGTTCAGCCAAGCTGAACTGGTGTAGCAACAGATTCTGGTTTTCTATTTCAAATGGTTAGCATACAAAGAAGTCACTAAGAAGATACATTGGTGGACAAAACAGTTTCACCGTGAAGCAAGCTAAGTAATGCAGGGGAGTGAAGATCGCTAAGCTGTGCCTTTTTCTCTACAGGATCTTCCAAGTTTTTGCACAATGCAACATAAATAGATCAAAAATATAATTTACTGGATACAAAACTGATGCTTAAGCTGGGTAAACACACGCAGTGCAGATGCACAAAACTATCAGGCTGTTGCCTAAAGGGCCAAATAAGAGGAAAACAATTTTTCACGTACAGACTGTCATTCACCTATGCACTTCTTAAAAACTATCTAAGGGTGTAACGTTTTATTGTTTAAGATTATTTATCACATTAAGAACTCACCAAAAGATGAAGAGAATTATAGAGAACAGAGGGTTTGATACACTTTTTACAGTATCAGCCTCTCTGAATAGTTATTTTCCTGTTAGCATGTCTTGCAAAACAACAACTTACACATCATAGATTTTGATATAGCCATCATCTGAAGCAGTTACAAGTAACTGAGAATCTGGAGAAAACGTCAGTGAACGAATAGGCATCGCATGACCTGAAATCAAAGTTGTGTACAGCTTAGCATGTATTCCTCTTACTAATGACAGTGCTTAAAGAGCTGCACTAGAACAGCATTCCCTGTTAAAGCAACTTCTGAAGAGCCTTTCCCCCAGTGCATCCACAGGCTTCTTTGCACAACATAAAATGAAAACTGACAGTAATTCTGAACTTAGAATGTTAAAGCTTGTCTGCTGCAACACAAAAGTGTCTTGTTTTTACAGCTGTAGATCTTTATTAGAAATTAAATTTGCCATATTTTCTAATATGATTTCATATTGGTTTAAGTGGTTTTTTTTAATTAACTATACCACTGCATGAACATTAAAACCCCACTTATGTGGGTTAGAAAAATGCACATATTCTACAACATGAAATGTTCGGTTATTTTCTAAAACAGGAATAAATTGCTGTTAAAACTAATACCACAGCAGAAAGAAAAATCATACAAGTGGCAGCACGTTTGGATTAGCTTCATTCCCTTGTACTGCTCTGCAATACAAGGAGGAACTGCAATTTAAGAATCCAGCTAAGCATTACTATATCTTTTGAGATAGGCATTTACGATGCAAGCCTGAGTTCATGGTTTCCCTCTGATATTTTAAGTAGTTTAAGCTACAGCACACTAAATAACTAAACACTGTCTAACAGGCAGAAATACCAACTCATTTATGCCATGGCTGTTGTATCTTACTCTGACTTGCATTATATCCTTTATTTTTGGTGAGGAATGAAGCCAGAACTTGGGTACTGCACATTCACAAACCATTACCTTCTAGCGTATGCAGAAGTTTTCCAGTTGCAATATCAAAAATATTGATAATGCCATCTATCGCTCCACTGGCTAAGTATTTTCCATCTGGACTCTGTAATAAAACACAAAAAGTACACATTTAACAACTGCACACATTTATGCTATGTACCTCACCGACATTCTCTTGGCAACTTGTCACAGATACGATCTATGCAAGATACCTGAGCTCCAAAAATCCCGAAGACTTCAGTTAACTTACTCACAATACATGAACAAGCAAGATCAAAGTATATTCTCCATAAATACAGGGGGAGAATGTCACACAGTTTATATTTGCAACCATCAAAGTGTCGCTGTATTATGTAGAGATAAACAAAAATATCTGATTTACAACATATTACAGCAATAGCAGTTTCACATAAGAAATTATCAATTGTGCTTCTTACATAGGCAATGCTGAGGATGAACTTTCCTCTGGTGTCCAGAGAATATTCTTTCTTTCCGGTTTCAACACCAAAAATATTTACTTTTCCCACATGACTTCCTGTTGCAAGGAACTGGGAATCAGGTGAAAAAGCAAGGGACCAAGCATCAACTGTATTAAAAAGAAAAAAATCAGTTAGCTGAATACTGTGTCTAGTTCTTACTCAACAATTCCAGTTCTGTTTGCATCTGTATGCATTTAAATCCCTACCTACTCTTAATACTCGAAACTCTACTACATGCTCTTAAGAAGAGCTCATAAAAGTTCATTTCCTTCTATGTAATTAATGGAGCATAGCTTGAGCTATTTATTTCTGTTTAGCAAAAGATTACATTTTCTAATAAGACCTTGAGCTTATTAGACCCTGTTGTAACAAAAAATTTAGATACAAGACTGCATGAGTTAAGTCTAAATTCTTGCTTTTCTCCTGGTACCAGAAGATATTAAACCAGTAAAAGAAAGCAACACTTGTATCTAGCAAAGCACAGAAGCTGCGGGAGAAACACAGATATATGAATGTAACATGGATCAACATTCTTTGCAAAGGAATTTTAAAAAACTTATCTTTTTATAGCACTACAATGTATTTATCTGGCACAATGTAATTCACAGGTTTTTTTCTATAAGCTTAATATTAACTACCTAAAACACTGCAAGATTGTTCTTAAATTAGGGATTGTCAGTGGACCACTGAAACCTTTAGAGTAAGATCTTAGGCCCCGAATTCCAACTTGGAGGATGTAACATTGATCCAGACTTCAGCTTAACTGTGTTTTGACTTGCTCCATCAGGCTTGGATGTACTGCCTGAATAAACCTCACATACATGGCTCAAATTCAGTGCAGTGCTTACGAAAAAGGTTCAGATTTGTAAATTAATTTGAATAAGCATTTGAATTATTTTTTAAAATATCCTTTTAGCAATACATCTGTAAGAGCAAGCTGGTTTCTATTCTGCTTTATGCATCTAGCAAAAAGCATATCTAACCGTATCTAATAAAGTAAGTAGTGTGAAAAAATGAATGTAAAATTGCCTGATATTACTTTGAGCTCATAAAAATCACTAAATTTTTTGCAAAGAAAGATTTTTTAAAAAATCAAAACAACAGAACAACAAACAAGTCATCTCATATACACTAATTATACACTGTGGAGTATTTACTATGTGGAGTAAGTACACTTCTTATGCAGAGGCAGCTTAGCACCGAGTTCTTACCAGGGCCAGCATCTATTGACTTGATCTGTTTGCCAGTTTCTAAGTCCCAAAGGCGAATATGGGCATCCAGGGAGCTGGACGCCGCGATGGAGCCCGTGTGGCTGATATCCACAGACACTACGCCCAGCTGGTGACCTTCCAAAGTCCACTGTAGGTCCAATTTTTCATCATTCCTTTCATTAAAGGGAAAGAAAAGCCTAGTTATGAATAGCTGGGGTACGTAATTGATTTCCAACCTCAGACAAAACAAACAAGACAATCCACATTTCTCCACTTGTTCAGCAAAAGGGGACTCTAACTTCACTCACAAAACACAAATTGCTCTCTGTACTTAACGGAAAGAACTGATAAATCAATCGTTCACCATATTTCTGCAAAGCATGTACTTCATCTTAGGTTTGTAAGTAGTCCCACTGAAATTTCCACTGCACAGCAATACCTGGTTACTTACACAGCAGACCATGAGCTGTCAGAATAGCGCAGAACGCAATGACTAACGCTTTTACAACTATCACAACAGAGCTACTCATGTAAATAAAGTGAAACACGTACTTAATACAGCTTTGGCTAAGATAGAAAACAATTACTTTGCAGAAGCACACTTCAGTGTCACTTGTATGAGAATTATGAAGATTTCTGTAAATAAAAAAGGAATATGTAATTTCTCTTTTACGCTATTCCCATTACTCCTTTCATAGTACGCATGCTTCCAAAGCACTGTCTCATAAAAAGCTGCATTTCTAATTCTTTGTTTTAGAAATGTACCAAGTTGTAATACTCTCTGGCAGATAACATGTAAAATTTGACATGCATTTTCAAAAGCATTTGCAGTCTCTGAAAACTAAAGCACATCAGAACCCTACCATGACAGGAGAAGGCACACAGCAATGAAAGTAAACTTGCTCAGGAGAACAGTTCTGTGTGCCTGTTTTGTGTGCCTTCCCTGATGTAACTTCTAACATCCCTGCAGATTATGGAAATTCAAGACTGCTGTATCTCCATACATACTTTCAAGGCTTAAAGCTGGTTAATACAGAGCTCTTCACTTACCACTTCCAGACCTTCACTAGATCATCCAAAGAACCAGAGATTACTGTTTCAGAACCATCATTTTTATTTTTTCCCCAGGCAACAGACCAGATGGCATCATCATGAGCTAAAAGAGAATATAAACATACAAATGAAAAATTAAGTGGATTATTTTGATGAAAGAAAACTACCAGACTTGGTAAAGCTAAAAGTGCCAATTGTAGTGCTAGCAATAGACCCCATGCTCTTCCAGTCTATCAGTGCTCTGAGAGCCTTGTCACTGCTTTGTTTCAAAACACATGATGTATTTCGTTCCCCAAGGTCACTGTTGAAAAAACAGCACAGCTATTTTTGGGTTATTCAGACTTACACTTAATATAAACATAATCCAGTTCATCTCATAAGTATATCTGCCATTATCAATTTTACATCATCCAAGGAAGCCAGTATTATGCGATACATGTTAGTGTTTTCTCACCTTGCTCTTGCTTGAAGAGAATACCGTACTAGAAAGAAAAAATAATTAGTATTACATATAAGCAGCCTTAAAAAAAAATCAAGCTAGTGATTAGTTCTAATTAATGCTGTGTTTTTATTTACCTGTGTGGTCATGTCTTCACGGAAGCAATCTTAACAAGAATGCCCTAGAAGGAGAAAACCCATTAGGTTCAGCATTAGGGCTCTGGAAGGAGAACACACGGCAGGCACCGGCGTGAAGCCTGAGGGAAACCGCGCCTTTCTGTCACCCTCCGCTCGCACGGCGACAACCGTCCGCCACGCAAGGGCCCAGCACCCCCGCCGCGGCCTCCCCTCAGCCTGCGGCCACCGCTGCCCTCCCTCGCGGTACTGGTACCGTTACCGTACCGAGCAGGAGACGCAACTTCCTGCGCAACGTCACCGCCGCCGCCGTCACACCGTGATGACGTCTTCTACCACCGAGAGGGCGGCAAGAACGGCTCTCCACCCAGCCCTTCTCCAGAGCAATAGAGAGGCCTCTCGCCTCGCGCTCTCTACTGCCGCCCTGTGGACAAGGTGGCAGACCGCCTCCAGGTCGCCCTCAGCCCGCGGCTGGATCGCTGGCCCCTCGCTGCTACAGCCCACCGGCGGGGACGGGGTGCCGCCACCCTCCCCCCCCCGGCCCCGCGGCCC